TGGCAGGTTGTAGAACAGTGCGGGACCATTTACAATTTGCAGTGCGGCTTGCACATGCGCAGTGGGCACCCAGCTGTGAAGTCACAACCTGTCACAGACTGGAGCTGACGGTGAAGGTGCCAGCACCGGGCACAGACAACAGGAGGTAAAAATGGTTAGGGTGAGCACAGTGCTGGATTGTGGGACAGGTGAGTGGCTGTTAAAAGGCAGCAGCTACAGTTTTTGTAGCTGCGGACCTTTTAATGTTTACATCGGAGACTAGAGCTCCTCTTTCGCACAGCCGGATTGGTGCAGCCACCAGATTCCTGCAGGAAGAATCTGTGGATTCTTGCTCCTGGATTGTCTGGGTTATGCGATCAGCGGCTGCACACCAATATTTCGGCTAATGGCAGGCTGACAGCGGCCGCTGATGTTTGCATTTAGCCACACAGTGTAGATAGCTGTGAAAAGGAACAGATGTCTAAGCCTGGACACAGCTTATATCTCAGTCCCATAATAATTAATCCCTGCTGTCTCATTAAAGTGGTAGTAAGCTTTTAAACACAGGATATTCATGACAGAAGAGATCCTATTGGTCTCTTCTTTGTCCTGCCTGTCAGCTGTCATGTACACTGAACAGGGTATGCACAGCTCCGTGAACATTTACGGCCCCAATCTGTGCTGCTGCCATGTGACTTCTTTGCGCATGTGCAGGAATGACATCATTGTGGCCCGGCCATTCAAGCAGCCGAAGGCACGGAAACTGGAAAGAGGATCGGGCGAAGATGGAAGCACCTGGGACCCACCGGATTGTTCACAGTGCAGCGCTTGATGGCTCAGTTTGACAGGCAAGTCTGTCAGATTTGTGCTATTATGCAGTGCATGCTAGCACATTATGGCATAAACCCCCTTGGGTCCCTATAAAGAAGAAACAAAAGCTGACTTTACTACCGATGTAATCATTAAAACACCATTTTCTTTTGGTGCCCATACAGGCTTCATTATGGTAAAGGCAAGCTCAAATATAATAAGCAGATGAATATATTGACCTCACGGTATACAGTGACTAGCTACCAAGCTATCCTTCCAGCCCCATGTCCAATCGGTGGCAAATTCATGCAGGCTCCACCTTCGCAACATCTCCAAAATACGTCCGTTCCTAACCCCAGACACTACTAAACAACTCATTCACTCACGACTCGACTACTGCAACTCCCTCCTCACCGGCCTACCTCATCACAGACTATCCCCGCTTCAGTCTATGCTGAAATCAGCAGCCAGACTCATCCACCTCACCAACTGCTCCTCTTCTGCCACCCCCCTCTGCCAATCCCTCCACTGGCTTCCGATTGCCCAACGCATACAATTCAAACTACTAACATTGACGTACAAAGCTATTGATAATACTGCCCCAAACTACCTCACCGACCTGATACCCAAATACCACCCAACACGTACTCTTCGCTCCTCACAAGACCACCTACTCTCCAGTTCCCTGGTCTCCTCCTCCCATGCCCGACTCCAGGACTTCTCCAGGTCTTCCCCTATCCTCTGAACTCACTACCCCAATCCATCAGACTGTCACCTACCTTCCTCACCTTTAGGCGCACCCTGAAAACCCATCTCTTCAGGGAAGCCTACCCCGCCCTCACCTAACTGCCGATCTCCTCCTACCACTCCATCCCCCACAGCTATTTCCTCCTGTACCACTATCTCCTCCCTCCTAGATTGTAAGCTCCAAGGAGCAGGGCCCTCGAACCCCTCGTGTATTGTTACTGTATTGTCTCATGTACTGTCTCCCACTATAATGTACAGCGCTGAGCAAACGTTTTGGCGCTATATAAATACTGTATAATAATACCCATAGATGTACAGGGTAGGCATTTTGTTAATATATGAAACATTTATCACTTCAGGGTTTGCTTGTTCCTAACTAAATGTATTTATTTCAGGTACTTATATAGCGCCATCAATTTACACAGCACTTTACATATATATTGTACATTCACATCAGTCCCTAACCCTCAAGGGGTGTACAATCTAAGGTCCCTATATTGACCTCACGGTATACAGTGACTATCTATAGATGTACAGGGTGGCATTTTGTTAATTTATGAAACAAGACATTTATCACTTGAGGTTTTGTTTGTTCCTAACAAAATTTATTTATTTCAGGTACTTATATAGCGCCGTCAATTTACGCAGCACTTTACATATATATTGTACATTCACATCGGTCCCTAACCCTCAAGGGGTGTACAATCTAAGGTCCCTAACTCACATTCATACATACACATACTAGGGCCAATTTAGACAGGAGCCAATTAACCTACCAGCATGTCTTGGGAGTGTGGGAGGAAACCCACGGAGGCACAGGGAGAACATGCAAACTTCAGGCAGGTCGTGCCGTGGTTGGGATTCAAACCAATGACCCTAGTACTGTCAGGCGGAAGTGCTAAACATTTAGCCAATGAAATGTTCAGAAGTCCTTGTATGTATAAAGCTTAAAGTGGTTGTGAACCCTCACATTTACCCAGTGAAGTGACTATCCTCAGGTGATACAGAGATTAAACAAATCCTTCTACATAAGTTGTACCTGTTTATCTGCTTTATTTTCTTATCTACATCCATTCAAAGTGCTGAATCTTAAAGCTTGTCTGAGAGTTCAGAACAAGGGGCGGAGGGCTGAAGATAACCTTTGCAGAGCTCAGTGCAGAGAGCTCTGAGAGCTGATTGGAGGGAAGACACACACCCCCCTCCACAGGAACAGAGCTGAGGTTGTCAATCTGCTGGGAGTCCCTCCCCTGTCATCATTTTTCTCTTGGTGTCAGGAAAACTTGTCAGAAGTGATGCATGATGATAGAGGAATGAAGCGGCAGACAAATGACACTTAGGGGGACATTTACTAAAACTGGAGCACTCAGGATCTGGTGCAGCTGTACATGGTAGCCAATCAGCTTCTAACTTCCACTTATTCAATTAAACTTTGGCAGTACAACCTGGAAGATGATTGGTTTCTTTGTGGAGCTGCACCAGATTTTGCACTCTGCAGTTTTAATAAATGACCCCCTTAGTGTTCTTAATTGAGACAAGTACACACTATAGAGGGATATGCTTTGTTCATATTTCTTGTCTGAGGTTCAAAACTGCTTTAAATTGAAGCTGTCAGGTCTTCATATATACACAGCAGTGCCACTAATATATTATCTACTAATGTATATACAGAGCTGGTTTTTCATTACTGGGATTCTGAAGGCACACGACCTTTGGCACCCAATCCAACAACCATCTGCAGGGATACTTGTATTTCAACATGTGTTGTAGACCTATTGATGGCATGGAAAGTGCCTGGAAAGATGTGAATGCAGCCTGAGGGTCCACATATACTGCACATCAACGCAAGTGCATAGGTTTGCCATTGTTTTTAATGGTGTTCGTTCACATATATGCAGTTTGCAGACATGCATTGACCAAATCCAAAAGGAAGATGTTTGGACGGGATCTGTCTATCAGGTTCATAATGAATAATAGCAGGCCTAAAGCCGATCCCCTCCATCCTTCTTTCAAAGCATGCTATATCACCTCTTCTGGTACATTACATGAGTGTCAGGGGTACAGGCACTCCACCCTTCTGCAGGGCATTTTGGCCATGGCAATGTGAACTCTCCCCTCCAGCTGCTGTTTTCATTTGGAGATAGGCTTTGCCTATGTGAGCACAGCCTTGCACTTTAAAAAGGTGCACATGTACAGTGAGGACCCTTCTCACACTAGCAGTGTTTTCCATCAAAAGAACAAGCAGCTTGCCTTGTGTTGTATGCCTCCATTCCCCACTAATGCACTGCATTGGTTTGTACCGCGCATTCTAACACTCTGTAATGCAGTGGTTCTCAACCTTCCGAATGCCGCGACCCTTTAATACAGTTCCTCATGTTGTGGTGACCCCCAACCATAAAATTATTTTCGTTACTACTTCATTTATACATTTTACACTTATCCAGTAATTATAATTCATGAAGTGTCGTTTTACCTCCAACACTGCTGCTTTCTGCACAGTAGCTGCTTTCTGCACAGTAGCTGCTTTCTGCACAGTAGCTGCTCTTTACACATGTGTGACTGGTCCACATAAGTACATTATGGTGCCAACCCTGTCACATACACCTGTATTTGTACGGGGTGTATGTGATGGGGTTGGCGCGATGATGTCATCACGCCGGGTAGTCGTATGTGGGCGTATCTGCATGTGGGCAGACCCGCCTGGAGACAGATAGAGGAGCGGTGTCTCATTTCCTAAGACCATCAGAAATGTGTTTTCTGATGGTCTTAGGCGACCCCTGTGACAGGGTGGTTCAACCCCCAAAGGGGTCGTGACCCACAGGTTGAGAACCGCTGCTGTAATGCATCACAAAAAAAGCGGGAATTGCAGTACATTTTAACAACCCTGTCTGGTACACTTGAAGGCCTTTTCCATAGAAATTCCTTGGCAAAGGTAGGTCGCCAAGTCTTTTCTCAACCCCCAGTTGCTCAGGCTTGGGACCAGTAAAAAAAGAATGTGATAACACATGTACCTAGTCAAGTTGTATACATAATATTCGTTCCAATTTGAACAGGAGCCATTTAACCTATTGGCATGTCATTGGAGTGTAGGAGGAAACCAGAGTACCCAAAGGAAACCCATGCAAACACAGGGCAAACATGCAAATTCCATGCAGATAGTCCTGGATTCCAGGATTCAAACCAAGGGCCACCAAGCCACCGTGCTACCCTTTTAATTGTTGCTATGGTTTTTTTGTTTTGCTTTGTTTTTTGGTGATCTCTTTATTTTCATCCAAAGCTTTATGGATGAATCTCTTAACTTCTGTTTGTTGTTTTTTTTTTTTTTTTTTTTGGTTTTTTTACTATGTCAGAAGCATTATTGCAGGATTGCTTTTGGTAAAATTATATTTGTACAGATTACTGATTAAGAAGAATGTCATCACCTGAGGCACTAATTTTTTTTTTTTTTTTTTTTTTTTTTGTTAAAGGGGCTACAAAGTATACCGATAAGGACAGCGGAGGGATGTTGGTGTGGTCTCCTTATCATAGTATATCAGATCTGAAGTGTAAGTACATTTTTGGGGGAACTTTTTTTTTTTTTTTTTTTTTTAAAGTCCCAAAATGGGCATCTCCTAGTCACTTTTCTGGCAGTATCTACAAGTTAACCTGTTCCTGACAAGCGTATGCATACATGTGGACGCTGGGTAGGTGGGCTTTAAAGTGGTTGTAAAGACTGAAGGATTTTTACCTTCATGCATTCTATAAATGCATGAAGGTTAAAAAAACCCTGAAAGGTTAAAAAGCCTGATCTTAATCCAGTGATGTGCATGAGAGCAGAGGTTCTGCCGGTTCTCTCCCTCATTGGCTCAGACACAGGAAAGCCTTTGGCTCCTGCTGCTGCCAATCACAGCCGGCAAGGAGGGAGCAGTGGGTGGGGCTGAACTGCACTGTGGGTGTCTTATGGACGCACAAAGCGGGACTCGGAAGTGCGCATGTACAAGTGCCCTCATAGCAAGCGGCTTGCTCTGGGGGCACTTGGCAGCGGGGAGGACTTTTACAATCGCTTTAACACTGAGCAGCTGCAAATATGCAGCCATAGGGAATGGTTTACTGTGCTGAGAGCCCGCTCACTTAATGCTCCCAGTACAGTAACTAAAATGCATGGAAAGCTCCCAACGCATACTTGCAATCAGGAGCCTCCAATGTATGCAGTGGTTTGCACAGAGCAGCCTGGATCCTCCTCTCTCGGGTCCCCCACAGGCTCTCCTGTAACTGCTCCTGACTGTGGGTGCTCCCCACAGCAAGCAGCTATGGGGGCACCCGCTTGCAATCAGGAGCCTGCTCCAATGAGGATCTGATTGCCCGTCTCCACCTCCTGGCATTTAGAACCCCGTAAAGCGATTCTAAAGGTTCATTTTTTTTATTTTTTTGTAAAATAACAAACATGTTATACTTGCCTGCTGTGTGCAGTGGTTTGCACAGAGCAGCCTGGATCCTCCTCTTCTCGGGTCCCCCACAGGCTCTCCTGGCTGCTCCTGTCTGTCGGGTGCCCCCACAGCAAGCAGCTTGCTATGGGGGCACCCGCTGCTGGGTGTGTCCATTCACACACACGGAGCCGTGGCTTGCCCCCCCCCTCCCCCTCCTCATTGGCTGACTGGCTGTGATTAACAGCAGCGAGAGCCAATGTCTCCCACTTGCTATCTCAGCCAATAAGGGGGCAGAGATCTGGAACAGCTGAGGCTGTCTTTCACCTTGCTGGATCATGATGAGGCTCCGGTAAGTATTGAGGGGGCTGGGGGCACTACTACGCACAAGGTTTTTTACCTTCATGCATAGAATGCATGAAGGTAAAAACCATTCAGCCTTCACAACCACTTTAAAGGGAAAGGAGGCAACAGCCGGAAGAGGTTGAAGCATGCAACACTACCTATCATGGTGACTTTGAAAGCAGATATATCATTTTAAAGGGAAGGATTGAGAATCATGCATGCCTTAATTAAGGACATTATAAACCTCCCTACCTGCACCTTGTGTTTTTCACCTGCATAAGCTATTGCATTGATCATACAGTTTCTTGGTGTCATTTGTTACCCTTTACATACAGCCTATAGGAAGGAAGTAATTCACATTCCTTTGTTAGCAATTTCTGTTTGTCTTCAAACATGAGACATGTGGCGTGACATGGCATTGTACAGGTCAATGTATGACCTCCTGTCTGTAGTGTAAGCGCTAACATTTCCTGTGAAGAAACTACATCTCAGTCTGTCTAGTCCCCTTAAGGTGCAGTAATTAGATCTGACACAGATACAAGCAGGCAAAGCAATGAAGGGCAAAGGTGTGTTTTCATCACATTAGCACTGCCACATTTGTGATGCAACACATAGAAAATTGTGAGGCATGGATTGTGAGCTGGAACAAGAAGCTGGCTGCCCCCTTGATGAATAGGGATAAGCTAGGTCACGGGTAGGCAACCTGAGAGCCGCAGGACTACAAGTTCCATCATGCCTCTGCAAGTCATAGCTGTAACTGTCAGTTTTGTAATCTTTGCAATGCCTCATGGGAAATGTAGTTCCACAACAGCTAGAGAGCCACAGGTTGCCTACCCCTGAGCTAGGTGAATGAATACATGGACGTAGTGGAATCGATCAGCCATGACACTGCAAACTGGAGCCACAACATGTGAGCCCAACATTACAAGGTAAGGCAAACAAAAAAAAACAGAGGATATAACTACACTAATACATAGTTGACAACAAAAACCACAAAAGTGTAAAATGCCTTTAAGACAGTGTTTCTCAACTCCAGTCCTCATGGACCCCCAACAGGTCATGTTTTCAGAATTTCCATTATTTTGCACAGGTGATTTGATCAGTTTCACTGCCTTAGTAATTACCACAGCTGTTTCATCTGAGGGAAATCCTGAAAACATGACCTGTTGGTGGTCCATGAGGACTGGAGTTGAGAAACACTGCTTTAAGGGAAGATTGTCAAGGAGTGGAAAATGTTTTATCCTTGAAAGGTGATGTACTGTGCTGTCATTTCATATGATGCTACTATATAAACATGTACATTTCTATTTGATCTTTTTAAACAGTGGATGAGTATATTGCAATTGCAAAAGAAAAACACGGCTACAACGTGGAACAGGTATGTTTGTAATTGTGTTTGCTATATTGATTTGCAAATATTTTGTGTTTTATATTTTTGTTTGGTTTGCAGCTTTCTGTGATGTGACGAGCCGCCTTATTTTGGTTAAAGTCCAACTCCAAGGAGATGTGAAAGACACAAATTAAAGCATTCATTAATAACCTCATTAAATGTATTTTTCAAATACAAGCAGCGTAAGTACCTGAATTTGACCTGGAATCGGCCTCTTGTAGTCCCTGTATTACGCTGGAGTGCGATAGGATGAAGCAGCACAAGGAGCCAATCAGTTTATGTGCTGAAAAGAAACATGCTGATTGGAGGAGAAAGCAGAGTGACTTGGATAAACTCATCACTTTGCTGCTTCTCTTTCACTGTTTAGTCGCTGGCTGGGGGAGGGGCCATGATATTTTCAGAGGAAGTGGGTTGAATTATGCTGGCCGTCACTCAACCTGGAAGACTGAATTCATCTAGTGGCAGAAGGGACAACTCTGAATTGAAGATGAGTATTGCCACAAGAATTTTTTTTTTTTTTAGATTATCTTTTTAATGGGCTATTGATATATTTTTTTTTGGGGGTAAACTTTTGCTTTAAATTTAGAAATGATGCTTTTACATTTTCCAGTAAGTCATCTTATGAATGTGTTGCTTTTTTTTTTTCTAAGTGCTGTGTGGTGTGTGTGAGCCCCAGCAGTAGTTTTGAATTCCCTGTAGCAGTGATGTCATCCCACCAGCGTCCATGGCTCCTTTCCTTGTTGAGGCAGGGGCAGACTGACCATTTGGAAACTCGGGCACTGCCTGAGGGCCCGGGGTTAGTAGAGGGCCCCATGAGATGTCCCTGGTACCTTTTTTCATAGGCTTTTTTGAGTTTGGGCAAGGATACAGGGGCCCCACGATCCCCTATTGCCCAGGGGCCCCATGAGTTGTCAGTCCGCCCCTGTTTTGAGGCAAAGAGTCCTGTCCGCCATCAGCAGAGAAGGGGGGGGGGGGGAGAAGAAGAGGTAGAGCTTTGTGGTCACATGACATTCTCCTCCCAGAACTCCCTGCTTAAAACTGAAATCTCTGCATTTGTGAATGTCAGAGTATGGAGACACGTACAGCGAAGCTGGCTTTTACGAATTATTTTGTAGTGGTAATATGTTATGTTGCCAAGACTGTACTGTTCTTACCAGATTTCTCTTTTAGTACCTGCATAGTTTGAGGTAGATGGCCTGAATTATCAGAGATTCTTTATTTTCTCTTAAGGCCCTCGGCATGCTGTTTTGGCACAAGCACAATATTGAGAAATCCCTCGCTGACCTGCCCAACTTTACACCCTTTCCCGATGAATGGACGGTGGAAGACAAAGTTCTTTTTGAACAAGCATTCAGTTTCCACGGGAAGAGTTTCCATAGGATTCAACAGATGGTAAGACTTTTGTAGTGGTGATTGTATGATGACTTCATAGACCGAGACAGAACATATAATATATAGTGGTAACTAGTCTAAGAATATTTTCAGTACAGTATGTAGTATCACTGTATGTCTATTCTCTGGTAAATGAACCCTTTACTTTAGCTTCCAGATAAAACAATAGCTAGCCTTGTTGTGAAATACTACTACTCTTGGAAAAAAACACGATCTCGGACAAGTTTAATGGACAGACAGGCACGGAAGTTGACCAGTAAAAACAATGGAGAAAGGTATTGTCCACTGGTTTTGTCAACTTTGATGTGTTTTAATGAACATCTGTTTCATTCCTTGTAATCGCCCTTTCTGCCGACATTTCTGTTGTAGGTGTGCAAAAAAGATTTATTTGGTCCTTGGACTGCTGTTATCATTCTAATAATAGCTGGACTTTGTGCCCCATTGCCCATTCCAATTCCATTTAGAACAAACTTGTAAGGAGTGTTTTTGCAGGGGCCCTGGTCCCAGACTTCCAGCACCATCCTAGTTACTTCGACCAGGGTGATTGTGGCCTAGACAGGGGTTATTTGGGACAATTTCCTTTTATTGGTGAATGGTTTATGGGTCTCATTTAATGTGCTGATTTGTATTGTATTATATTTACAATAAATATTTTTTGTACATATACAATACCAATATGTGGATTAATCCTACTGGATTTTGCACTTTTCAAGACATACAGCATATGGCTGTCACTTATATAGAGAATGCATATAGAATCTATAGTGAAAATGCATTTAAAATTATGTATATAAAAGGAGAAGTATAGTCAAAGTTTTGACCTTACCTCTCCTGTGGGTCATAGGGGTGCACTGTTCTGCACTGTTGTCACCCATTTTCAGCTGACAGTGGGTCAAAGCCTGTGTTAGCTGATGTCACTTAGCCAGTCCAGACTCTGGAGTGATTCTAACTTTAAAGTCGAGATCCACCAAGATACCTGGACCGCCCCCTCCACAGCCTGGGTCTCCAGTGAGCGCTGGAGGGGCAAAGCAGGAGCCAGTGTCTGACAGTCACTGGCTCTCTGCTCACTGAAGACCAAGAACTGAGCAATAACCGGTGTTTGATTGCGTGGTTGTTATGCTTGTCCAGTGGTTTTAGTAGTTTGAGTCACTGACTTGGGACCAGGTCAGAGTCTGAGAGCATATATGTAGACTACTAATATTTCCAGTGGGTTGCTTAAGCGTAAATAAATGCACTTAAAGCTGCATTTTTCAAATGCGTTTAGGCCCATCAAGATTTGATGATATTCAATTATTCTGGCCATTGAAATTAATGACTGCTCAAGCACTAAATGCGCCTAGCTTTTAGATGTGTTGGCGTTCTCTGCCGAAACGCTCCTTTCCTGAGCCTGAAATGCTCCTGCCTCTAAATGCCTGTAAACGCCTGTGTGTGCAAGGAAACCTAGGCTAACATGGAGGGGCATTTAGAGACAGAAAAAGTCAAATGTCCTATAAAGCTGCGTTTTTGATGAGGCCTTAGACTGTGAATCAACATAATTAAAAGCACTGCTAATTCACTGTCCTTTAACCACTTCAAGTCCGGACACTTTTACCCCCTTCCTGTCCAGGCCAATTTTCAGCTTTCAGTGCTATCACACTTTGAATGACAATTGCGTGGTCATGCAACACTGTACCCATATGAATTGTTTAGAATTTTTTTGAGACAGAGATAAAGCATTATTTTGGTGGTATTTATTCACCACTGGGATTTTTTTTTTTTTTTTTGCTATGTAAATGAAAGTCCAAAAATTTTGAGAAGTTTTTCTTATAAAATTTTGCAAATAAATATTTCATTATAAATATTGGCCAAAATTTATTCCGTTATCTTTTTAGTAAAAAAAAAGTAGCCCAAATTTGTTTATAACCAAAAATTATTATAATTTTGAAACTTTTTTTTTTTTCCATTTTTATTTTTTTTTTTTTTACATACTGTCACCCTAGCAGTACAGTGTCACCATGACACTGTACTACTTGTGGGGGGTGATGAAGATTTTTTTTTTTTTTTTTTTTTTTACACTGCTTGCTTTTGCACCCATAAAGGCTGTAAAAGCAATCAATTCTCATTCTCTAGCTGCATTCATGCAGCCATTGAGAACTACTGTGTGAGCTGTGATTGGTCACAGTTTGTCACATGGTACAAGGCTGTTGTGAATAGCCTTGTACCATGTGACCTCTGTGATCATTCACAGATTTCACACGTAGTAAGCAATGATGTTAGAAGTGACATCTTGCTTACTACTCTGCATGTGATCACTGATTGGCCACTCAGTGATCACATGATCGGGACCTCGCACAGAGGTCCCGTACGATGATCAGTGTTCCACTGTGTCCGGAGGACACAGCGGGCACCGGATCGCGGTGCTGCACGCTCCCAGGGAGAGCGCACAAGCAGGGGGCGGGGAGGCCATTTATAAACGGCCACCCGACCCTGCACTGCCACCGTCCGGCCATTTATATACATGGGCCAGATGGGAGGTGGTTAAGCTAAATGGAAAGCTCCAAAGCTGAGCCAAGACTATGTGGTTTTGCTTGACTAGCTGTGCATTGTCGAAAAGGTTAGTGGATCATAAGATTGGCTGAACGGTATGACACTATCTGAGCTGGTAAAGCATTTTTCACAAATATCCCTGTCAACTGTGTATTTAGCTGTTGGCATGGAGTTCTGATATAAAGTGATTCTAAAGGTTCAAATTTTTTTTTTTTTTTTCATTTTAATGTCATATTTGCCTGCTTTATGCAAAAGTTTTGCACAGAGCATCCCAAATCCTCCTCTTTTCTGGTTCCCTGCCTGCACTCCTGGCTCCTCACCCCCGCTGTGTGGCACAAAGCAAGCTGTTTGCTCTGGGAGCACTTGTGCGCCACTCAAACCCACTCCCTTCTCACTGGCTGTGATTGACAGCAGCAGGAGTAGATGGTTCTTGCTGCTGTGTATCAGCCAATGAGGTGGGAGAGACCCAAGAGAGTCACTTGTCTCTGGCACAGTGCTGGATCGCAATCAGGTTTAGTTATGTATTAAGGGGGGCTGAGGGGGACGCTACACACTGAAGGTTTTTACTTTAATGTATAGAATTCATGAAGGTAAAACACCTTCAACCTTTAGAATCCCTTTAAACCATCATTTTTTTGTCAGGTTGTATAATGGTTGTGTGACTCATGTCTTGAGGGGGGGAGGGGGGGGAAATGGATCAAATTAAATCTTTGTGTTTATACTCAGTGATGAAGAAGTGGAGCCTGGAAGTCCTAAGGATGGAAATGATAGTGATTATGATCCCAAAAAAGAAGCCAAGAAGGAGGTGAGTAAAGTGGACTACTTCCCATGTTTTAATAATGCGTTGCTTCTTCCTTGTCAAAAGATTTTGAGAGTGGATTGTTTAGCCAGCTATTGCATTGTGCTCTGTCCACGGCAACCTCATTGTCCTTCTGTATACTGCAGAGAGGAAAGAAGTATGTATACAGTATATATGATTTATTATTATTATTATTATTATTACTACTAAGCAACTTATTCACTATCTGGTTATCTCTCGCCTTAACTCTTGTAACTCCCTCCTCATTGGCCTACCGAATTGCAGCCTATCCCCTCTTCAGTCTATCATGAATGCTGCTGCCAGACTCATTCACCTTACTAACCGTTCTGTATCTGCCACCCCTCTGCCAATCCCTCCACTGGCTTCCCATTGCCCCACAAATAAAATTCAGAACCCTAACAATAACGTATAAAGGCGGTACCACCCCTTGATGACGTCGTGGTGACGAAACGTGTTGGGCGTGGCCTACTCGATGCTGCCGTTGGGAAGTTCTGTTCCCAATGTGTGTTGGAGGTGATCCGCGGTGAGCGGGGATCTTCGTTTGCTCAGTTGCTGTGTATCGCTGATTAAGCTGGTGTCTGTCTGGACACCTTTTTTTTGCACCTCATGCATTTTGGAGAGATGGATTTGAATGGAGAGATATAATATGAGATCTCTGGCTGCAGAGTATTGCTTCTGGTAGTGATATGCTGTTCTCTATGCCGACTGCCATTATTGATTATCAGGATTTGATTATTTATTACATCTAATACCTGGATATCGTTTCACCCATCGCTCCCACAAGTGCTATTGCTGGTCTATAATCTGATCAGCGTTTAGCTCTGGTGAGTTATTTAATTCATTTGGTGGTGGATTCAAAAGACAAGGGGGCTTACAGACTGTCATGTAGCAGTTAGGTCTAGACCACAGCTCCCTAATCTCAAGGACAAATGTCCCTAAGATTAATTTCTGGAGAGAATTACTCCCTGTATGTAGGAAACATTAAGTAAAGGCAAATAATTCTTATATCTGGAGTGAGCTGTTATTGTTATCCTCTCATTTCCTGGAGGGGGGGGAGTCCAAGTACCAGCTGAAGTTGTAGCTCAGTGGAGACTTCTAAGGTGACTGGCATCCATGTCAGTGACCTGAAGCAGGCAACCAAAAGAGAGAATGGGAAATAATAAAGCAGTCCCTCGTGTAACCTGTAATTGTCAATAAGAAGATGGAATGGATGGGAGAGTTAGGTAGCAAAAGAAAGGAAGAGGGTTGGGGCAGAGCCCCATGAGGTTTGATACATAAGAGATGCCTATCCAGTAGTGAGCCCAGATACGCCCCAAGCTGCAGGAATTAATATTTGAGTTGGGATTTGTATATGTTCCAGTGTCCTGTGCTTCCTGGGATTTTTGTAGATTGCGTATTGTATTGGAGACTTCTATGGTGACTGGCATCCATGTCGGTGACCTGAAGCAGGCAACCAAACGAGACAATGGGAAATAATATACCAGTCCCCTGTGTAACCTGTAATTGTCATTAACAAGATGAAGTGGATCGGAGAGTTAGGTAGAGAAAGAAAAGAGGGAGATTGGGGCAGAGCCCCATGAGGTTTGATACGTAAGTGATGCTTATCCAGTAGTGAGCCCAGTTACACCCAAGCTTCAGGAATTCATATTTGAGTTGGGATATGCTCCAGTGCCCCACCCTTCCTGGAATTTATGTACATTGCATATTGTAGCTGTTGGCATTTCCATCAGCTTTATTTCCCTAATTCAGTTGAGTTGATTCCAGTGGGTTGGGGAATAAGTAATTTTCCATGTGAAAGTAAGCAGTCAAGGGGGATGCTGTAAGGATGTGTGCGATTTGTTCATTTACATAATCTAGTTATCAGCCTAACTGTTTAATTGATATTGATTTATGGGGCAGTCACAGATCCTGGAGAGTTTGACCTCTCTCCAAAATGGAGTGACACCTGGCATGTCCCCATGTGGTAAAGAGCGCCCACCTGAGATTGGCATTTCCAGCAAACTTTGCTAGAGATGGAAAAGTTTTTTTATGGGCCTGTGTTCATAACGTCCTCCATACTTCCAATGGAATTTTTCTTCTCAGTATTGTTTTCCCATACGTTTTTATGTAAAGGTGTTTTGGAAAGGGGTTTTTTGAGTCTCAGAAACTTATAGATGGCCCTTTATGAGGTGGGTCATCAACAAAGGCCAGGTTGGCTGAGACCCGAAAATATTATATCTTTGATTGGGTGAGGTGATAGATTTGCAATTTTGGCTAAGATCAAGTGTAGTATCTGTTCTTATCAGTGTCCAGTGGGGGTGCTCCCGACCACTCTGTCTTTGTGGGGTTGGTTGGATAGTACCCTCACTGGTATGATGGGGGTCCGGAAGGCTGGACCGGAGGGACAGAAACCGGGGAGCGCCATGATTCGTTCTGGGGCCTCGGGAGTAATTCCTCTGGGAAGGCTGGAAAGACCCAGTACCTCCTGATTTGAGCAAGCTACCTTGGTCTGGCCAGGGGCTGGGGACGCAAAAAGTCCGCAAACTCAGTGCCCCCTGGGGAGACGCGCTCAGGGGTGTCACTAGTAACACTTGGGTGTGGGACCCCACGGTGTGAAAATGACACTTTGGCCACTGTTTTTACACATCTTTTTGCACAGCGCCCTAAGGACCAGGCCTTTTGGCTAAGTCCAGGGCAATTTTTGCTACGGGCCTCAGGGCCTGGTCTGTGCACAATTCGGCACGGTACCACTTTTTTATTTTTTCTTTCTCTTTATTTATTATGCACTTCCCACGTTTGTCACTTTTTTGCTCTTATGTGTGTGTTTTTTCACGGATGGAGGGTGTGGGTCCTCGGGCCTACCCTGAAGTCTAGGGGGAGGATGTGTGGCCATACGGTTCCTTCCTCCCCTGGGGACTCTTCTTCGGGAGAGTCCCCTTGCCTAGTACTGGATGTCCGGCTTCGGCTGGGCATAGGGAACGGTGGTCCACCAGGCCTTTTGGCCAGGAGGACCAATTGGGAACCTTGTCCCCGTCAGGAGCTTCGTGCCCCGGGGGATCAGGGTAAGCGGTCCAAGCCCCTTTAGGGGTAGGACACAGCACACCCCTAAGTGCACTTTTTCATGTGGTGTTTTTGCACTTGCACTTTTTTTGTGAACACTTACGGGTTTTTTTCGTTATAGTTGCACGTTTGCGGACTTAAAAAAAAAAAAAAAAAAAAAAAAAAAGATAGATTTGCAAATAACTATAGAATTCTGTACAAGGCATTTAAATATATTCCTATGTATCAGAGAAGGGGGAATAATGTTTTGGTGCTTTGAATAATTAAATAGCCAAATTTTAAAAATAAATTTTTTTCAAGACTGGAATAATCTGGGAGGAGAGACTGTCTGGTGTCCTGGGTTGTGAATAAGAATGATGTCATCCTAGATTGCTGGGTAGTTAAGTGATATTTGTTCCAAGATGTGTACAAGAGATTGTTTGTTAGTAAATTGCTTTGGGGCCAACAAATGTGCTTTTGGGATTTTTTGGTTTGAGTTCCACAACCTTGAGTCTGGCTGTACACACACACACACACACACACTTCCTCACAGCCCTTATACTCAACTGAGTACCCCGCTCAATCCAGCAATGTGCACGGGAGCCTTGACTGTTCTGGGTCTCTCTCTCCTCATTGGCTGAGACACAGCAATGAGAACCATTGGTTCCCAGTGCTATCAATCACAGCCAGTGAGGAGAGAGCGGGGGTGGGGCCAAGCTTCTACTGTATCTTATAGCAGCATAGAGCAGGGCTCGGGAATGAGAACACACCCGTGCGGATCAGCAACAAGCACGCACCAGTGTCCCCATAGCAAGCGGCTTGCTATTGGGGGCACTGGTCAAGGGGGAGGAGCCATGAGCATCAACAGAGGACCTGAGAAGAGGATCGGGGTTGCTCTGTGAAAAAAAACATTGCACAGAGCAGATAAGTATGACATGTTTATTTAAAAAAAAAAAAAAAAAAACCTTTTACACTAGACTAACTTTATTGCTGAAGTTAACATGTTTTTCCAAGGGGCACATCAGGGTTTTAAAGAGTCTATGGCATGGACAGTCACCGTCAGTCTCAAAGTGGCACAGGTCTTCTTGTGCTTCCTAATGCATTTCAATAAAAGAATTGTGACAGTAAGTACTGGAATTTCCCCCAAAAGGTGGCAGCACCCTTCTTGGTTTGTGAGTGTGCCTAGGCTCTCTTGTGCCTACAGCCTCATCGCTGTATATCTGTAGTGTGAAATATAAGGATTGCCTCTGACTGTTAGTTTCAGGAGATATGGAATGAGATTTGGATATGCCGCTACTGCCCTGTTCACTGGTCTGCTTGCTGAAGCTTTAACAAGATGCATGGTAAGTCAGTAATCAGGAACAAAATTATCTGCAGGGAGACGCAGCAACCCTGGTAATTCATCTGCCTTCTGTCTGACTTTATGTATACATTTTTCGGGGGGGGGGGGGGGGGGGGGGGGCACAGCTTCCAGAGTTTAGTCCCTCTTAATTCCACCTTTTATGTGGGTGACTTACTTTAAAAGAGAAGACATTCTGTGGTAACATTTCTAGCACATGACCATTTTTATGTTCACAGGCAATAGCTAATTATGGCTGGAAATCTATATCTTTCTCTCTTTTATAGGCGACCACGGAAACCTGTATTCAGCCAGTAAAAGTTGCACTTGGTAGAAGAGAATACCAAAGTTTGCAGCATCGACACCACTCTCAGCGGTCCAAATGCCGGCCTCCAAAGGGCATGTACATAAGCAAGGACGATGTTGTAGCTGTGTCATGTAGCCCAAATGCCGCCAATACTATTCTTCGGCAACTGGACATGGAACTAATATCATTAAAGCGTCAGGTAGTACTTTTTTTTTTTTTTTCATGTGTGCACTAAACTGACACTACTTATTTAGGGGAAAACCACTGGCAGGGGTCTCTGATCTCTTCCATGTTGTTCACCTACCTTTCCAGGGTTACCTACCTCCGCTTTACACTGTGCCTGCTCGACTCCTTAGACTACGCATACCTTACTACAGATGGCTCCACTTTGTACATTGTGCTTTATTATGCACACTGTTGTAGTATGGTCTATACTCCACATGTGTGTGTGTGTGTGTGTCTCTCACTGTCTGTTATCCCCTCCAGACTCACCAGGCAAAAGATTGCATTTATAGTCACAGACCTTTGTGTCATAGAAGGCTTATGTTTGCTAGTATAATAACAGTAGAAGATAACTGTCCAGATACCTCTCACTGTAGATTCTCTAATTCCAGGACCATTTTCACCTCCCCGCAGGCAGCCCCCCATGCACGACCTGGGAAACCTATCTGTAAGCCTTGGCATTATCATACAAGGTGGATAGGCATAAGGGTGCCTAAGCTTGTGAAATTGGTGGCCAAAGTAAATGGCTTGAAAGGGCTCTGCACCAGTGGAGTGAGAGATTCTGCAGCAATTTGACAGGTTTAGCTGTAACCTGTCCGATGCTGCTATGTTTATGCATTTCTCTCTCGAATTCTGTTTTTTACATTTGAGACACCGCAAACTATTAAAGAAAAAAAGGTAACAAGCCAAAAGATTCTGAACACCTTATGTGCCCCAGATTGTTTATGCTTTTATACTGATCCTCCTGTTGATTTGCTAAATGTGACTTTTTACATTTCAAGGTTCAGAATGCTAAGCAGATAAACAGTGCACTTAAACAGAAGCTGGATGGCGGAATAGAGGAGTTCAAACCAGCAGAGGTAAAGCCGACAACCTATGTCCTCCATGTTACTCTCTCAGGTTTGAGCTTACTGAAATTGTAAGTTAATTTTGGCTGCTCAGAAAAGAAAATCAATTCATGGATGTATTGCATTTACTGATTTTATTTAGGTATAATCTGAATACCACAAAATGTAGTATATTCTGTTTTTTTAAATGACGTATGCTTGGGTGTTGCATGTAATAGATGCAGTAGTTTATTGGTAAGAACCATTATTAAAAAAAAAAAAAAAAAAACTGTTACATGTATGTAGTTTATAGCATTCATTATGTGAATTTTGAATTTCCTTGTTTGTCTTTTTTTTTTTTTTTTTTCTTTATTTTGGTATTATTCAGGACTTGTATAGCTCCAACAGTTTGCACAGAGCTTTACAATTTAGTGGGGAGACAGTACCATTTCGATACAGTTCAATTCAAGGGGTTTAGAAGGGCCCTGTTCAGGACAGCTTACAATCTAATGGAATATGTTACTATATATATATATATATATATATATATATATATATATATATATATATATATATATATTATAGTATTTATATACCTTTTTATATTTTACTTTATATTTAAATGCAGACTGAACTGTCTAGAACAGTGGTCGGCAAGCCGCGGCTCGCGAGCCACATGCGGCTCTTTACCCAGTCTAATGCGGCTCTTCTGTGTGCCGGGCGCCTGCTCCCCTCCCTCCTCTCGGTCGGCCGCTCCCCTGCCTCCTCTCGGTTGGCAGCCCCAAAAGTCCGCGCGGACCTTTTTAATCCGGCCTACGGATGTGGCTGTCAGGATGTGTGTAGGCGGGGGGCAGCGTGCCGAACGTGAGGGGAGGGGAGCTAGGCTCCTCTCACAGTCCGCCCTGAAGACCCGAACGGCGCGGGAAGACAGCGAGAGGAACGCAAAAGGTAAGTGAATTGACACGGGGGACTTGGCTTACTAGAAGGGGGGGGGGGGGGAATAGTACTGTGGGGGATGAAATACTATATGAGGGATGAATTACTTTATGAGGGATGAAATACTATATGGGGGGATGAAATACTATATGAGGGATGAAATACTATATGAGGGATGAAATACTATATGAGGGATGAATTACTATATGAGGGATGAATTACTTTATATGAGGGATGAAATACTATATGGGGGGATGAAATACTATATGGGGGGATGAATTACTATATGAGGGATGAATTACTATATGAGGGATGAATTACTATATGAGGGATGAAATACTATATGGGGGATGAAATACTATATGGGGGATGAATTACTTTATGAGGGATGAAATACTATATGGGGGGATGAAATACTATATGAGGGATGAAATACTATATGAGGGATGAATTACTATATGAGGGATGAAATACTATATGAGGGGATGAAATACTATGTGGGGGGATGAATTACTATATGGGGGATGAAATACTATATGAGGGATGAAATACTATATGAGGGATGAAATACTATATGAGGGATGAATTACTATATGAGGGATGAAATACTATATGGGGGGATGAAATACTATATGGGGGGATGAAATACTATATGGGGGGATGAAATACTATATGAGGGATGAAATACTATATGGGGGGATGAAATACTATATGGGGGGATGAAATACTATATGAGGGATGAATTACTATATGAGGGATGAAATACTATATGGGGGGATGAAATACTATATGAGGGATGAATTACTATATGAGGGATGAAATACTATATGGGGGGATGAAATACTATATGAGGGATGAAATACTATATGGGGGGATGAAATACTATATGAGGGATGAAATACTATATGGGGGGATGAAATACTATATGAGGGATGAAATACTATATGAGGGATGAAATACTATATGAGGGATGAAATACTATATGGGGGATGAAATACTATATGGGGGATGAAATACTATATGGGGGATGAAATACTATATGGGGGATTGAAATACTATACGGGGGATGAAATACTATACGAGGGGATGAAATACTATACGGGGGATGAATTGCTATGGGGGATGAATTACTATATGGGGGATGAATTACTATATGGGGGGATGAATTACTATATGGGGGATGAATTACTATGGGGGATGAATTACACCATGGGGGATGAATTACACTATGGGGGATGAATTACTATATGGGAGATGTATTTTCAGTTTTAAAAATGTGGCTCTCAAAATAAATTTCAATCATGGTTTTGGCGAGATTTGGCTCAGTTGAAAAAAAAGGTTGCCCACCACTGGTCTAGAAAGTGACAGAGGTGGGGACAAAAATTTGTTTCTGTGATCTTCCAATTCCTGCAATATAAACAACATTTATGTATCCATGTGTGTTGACTGCTCCTAATTCACGGGTAAACGGGTGAGGCCCCACCTACCTGACATAGTTGACGACAAGATATGGAAAATCTGTCCTTAACAGCAGGTGCAGCTTGAACTGTTACCATGGTCCTTTTTAAGGAGCAGCTTTGGCACTGGTAATGGCTTACGAACATGGAAACCTGTTAAAAGTGCTGATGGCACACCTCTCTGATCTTGCGATTAACTCCCTGGAGGGTAATGCTTAGAGAGCTGTACTCTTATTGCCCCTGAATGGTCTGTATGGTTCCCTGAAAAGGGTGCTGAGAGACCATGTGAGAGTTGATGCATTGGTATTGCTATCTTTGAAGAAACGGAGCGAGAGCAGGAGGAGACAGAAGCCAGGGTGGTGGGCACTTTTTTTTTTTTTTTTTTTTCTGCCCTGGCACACACTGGGGATGCAGCGCCCATTTGAGAAAGATACTAAACATTCCCCCAGGTCACTGTTAAGAGATTACTAATGTGTTGCAGAGTGGGGTCATTCAGGTAAGCAGGTGTCCCTGGGCTGCGGCAATATTTTTCATGAGAGAAAAAGATGGATGTCTTCATCCTGTATAGATTAGGGTATATGTTTGCACCCACCGTTATGCTTACCTCTTGCAAAGGTTTACTTGTTGCTATTTACTTTTCTTCAATAGATTTGGCTAGGTGAGAGTGGCAAGTGCCCATTAAGGATGAAGATGGTGGGAAGACAGCCCTTGTCACCCTGCTGGGGCTATACCAATTCAACTACATGCCTTTTGGGCTAATTGGTGCCCCCCAACACTTTTCAGAGGCTTACAGAATGCTACTTGGGGAACCTCAACTTTAACGCTGTCTTAATTTACCTGGACGATATCTTCTCAAAGACTTTTGTAGACCATCTCAGATGGTTTGTTTAGGTCTTTATGCCGATGACTCAATATGGACTAAAGCTCAAGCCAAACAAGTGTCATTGCATGCAAAACTGAATACAGTATCTTGGCCATCTTGGAGGAGGGCAAGTTTCTCCTGATCTTGCCAAGATGTAGGCGGTACGGGATTGGCCAGTTCCAAAAACAGTAACCAAAATTTACTCCTTTGTGGTGCCGGTAGGGTACTACCCGTTTTTCCCAATTTTGCCAGATTGCTGCTCCCATTGCACAGTTATTGTGTGGATATGCAACCCTCCAGATTTTCAGACACTCCAGGAACTAACTATTGCACTACTCGTGGTGTATGCTGATTACACCAAACCTTTTTGTATATACACTGATGGCAGCTCTCATGGACTATACTTGCCTCTGAGCTGGATAGGGTTAAACAATGCCAGTCAAAGCTTGTGGCCAACTAACCGCAACCCACATAAATATATTTCCTTCAATTTGGAGTTACAGGCACTGCTATTGGCTCATAACAGAAGTTTATATAATATTTGTTGTGGCAGGTGGTCATCTACAGCGACAACAGTTCTCTAGTGTACCTATAAACTGCAAAACTTGCTGCCTTAGATGAACGTCATTGGGTTGCTCCTCTGGCTTGCTTGAATTATACAATCCACTACAAGCTGAGATGGTTCCTTTGTAACATTGATACTTTGTCCTGATATCCTTTGGAATGACCACAAGGGGGTGGGGATGAACATCGGCAAAAAATAAGAGGTTTTATTCACTCTCAAACAGGAAATCTGGAAGTGCAAGCTATGTTGGCTCCTCGGAATAGACAGCAACATCAAAGTGTAACCTGAAATATAATGTCCAGCAGAATGTGCTGAAATGCAACAAGGCAATCCCAACACCTCTCAGGCTTCGAATTCCTGTATAGAAAAGCCCACTTACTGGGAACAGGTCCAGCTTACCTCCTCAGTTCAACATCTGCTTCAACAATGAGACAGGCTAGAGTCGCAAAATGAACAGTTTGTCAACAAACCCATACTTATGAGGAGTGCCGAAATTGTGCTCTTCATATAGCACAGGCTGAGCAAACCGCACCTCTCAAGGTTACAACAGCTGAAATGTTTGAGCTGCTGACCAAGGACATTCTGACTGTGGCAAGGATATCCTCTGGATATCATTACACTTTGGTGTTTGTAGATACCCTTGTACCATCATGATGCCCACATGAGATTAGACAATTGTCACCATGGCTTAGTGCTTTTGGACACATGTAGAACACAGCCTTGTGTCTGTCCTAAATGGATTCTGTCTGATCAAGGTCCTAATTTTGAATCGCAAGTCACATACTAGTCCGTACCATCTGCAAGGAAATGGTAAATCTGTACTCTTGAATCCAACTCTGCTAGGCAAGACTTGCACCTTGGAGCAAGAGTATCCTGATCGATGCCCGCAGCATGTAGGCAATGTGGTTTGGGCCTAAAACTAACAGTTTACAAGGCCACAGGGTGTATGCCCTGCTTAATGTGCAAATGAAGTAACCAGTTATACGTGGATGTGCTCTTGGATACATCTGAACCTGTGTCTCTGAACATTCACTTAAAAAGTGGATGCAGGAGCATTGGCACTGCCTAATGAAAGCCAAGCAGGGGGCATTAGAACAGAATCCAAACCTTTTAGACGAATGTGTGGCAGGTCCTTTTTTCCCCCTCACAACTTGCCATAGGATTGTTATTGGTAATCCCAAATATAAGCAGGACAGTGTATTGGAGCCCAGAAGGAGCCTCGTCCATACTGCATTGAAAATTAATTCAGGAAGGGCTTCACAAGCATCTACATCAG